AAAAGACTTTTTTCTAAAATTATAATTCCTAGATAAAATTTCATTTGAAAATAATATTTTTCCAAATGTAGACAATAAGCAAATTGAGATCTTTGGAATTTGACTCATTGTTCTTTATTAGCCTACTCAGAAGATTTGAAATAAAATACTGAACTGAGTTGACCATTAACAAAAGTAAAGACGACGTGAAACTAAACAGAAATATGTTTTGTAAAAATCAAATTACACATGCAAGTTAATAACAAAAATATTTTATTTTACTTTTTTAGATTATAGTAAAATTAATTTAATTCAAATAAGCATGACAAAAAAGTAAAACACATATATCAAATAAATTTTATATTATAACTAGCTGCAAGGACCCACTTTGCTGGGTTTTTATTTGTTCGTACATTTGTATGTAATATAGTTTTTTTTTTATATAAAAGACTGTTTTTCTAAGTAATCTAGAATCTAGCTGCAAGGACTCGCTTCGCTGGGCAAAAAGTAACGATAGTGAAGATTAAGACAATTACACTATAGCCAATCTTACCCGTTTTCACAGAATGCAAGAATTAGGTCCCATGTTTCCAGACTAATTAGAGAATTTTTACGAGTCTAAAAATATGTTCGATTTCCCACAAAAACGCAAAAAACCGCCTGTAAATCTTGCATGCCGCTTTATATTAACACTTCCTTTGTTACTCAACACTTCCATTGTTAACATTTCCATTCTTAGCACTTCCACTGTTAACACTTCTATTGTTAACACTTCCATTGTTAACACTTCTATTGTTGACACTTCCATTGTTACACATCTTCGAAGTCAACCACTTTCAACCCCATATCTCCCGCACCCTTATAGCACAGAATGCAAGAATTAAGTCCCCCGTTTCCAGATTAATCAGAGAATTTTTACGTCCAGTCAAACAAACCAAAGTGGAACCTCGGTATACAACATTAATCCGTTCCCAATGTTTGGACTTATACCAAATTGGACGTATACCAAACCAACCTTTCCCATAAGAAGTAACGTAAAAATGATTAATCCGTTCTCGTGTAAAAAAAATGGCTGGCTTTAAACACCTCGCTTTCCTGGCTAGTTCCTGCTTGATTTTTTGTGAGATCAGCGTGTATCTTTTTAGCTTTCTCGCAAATAATTGCTTCCGATACGCTGTCTCCAGCACTGTTTTTCAGTTATCCAAAGCAAAAGCAATTTCTCAATATGATCTAATATCTTCGATCTCTGTTTAGAAATCGATTTAACCCCTTCCGCAAGGTTAGCAGATTTAATAATGTCTTTATTTTTTGCAATTGCCCATATCGTCGTTCTCAGAATACGGTAAACAACAGTTAAAATCTCAAACACGCGTGCCACCTTCGTATTTCTCAACAATCTCTTTCATCAGTTCCATTGTAATTCTAGTCATTTTTTTACTTTTCTGTCGCTTTTCATTTGCCTTTTTGGGATTCGTGATTAATAAAAATAATAAAATTTTACTTACAAATTAAAATCAGAAGAAATTAAACAAAGTTATAAACCATTGCACCGCGAACGTCTAGTCTGGTCTAGTACACCGATAGTGCTACTTGTTCATTGATGGTGCGTATAATTGAATTATGTCATATACTGAGCAAAATTTGTTTCGTCCAAACAGGACGTATTCCGAATCGGACGTATTCTAAAGCAGACATATACCAAGGTACCACTGTATTTTCAATTTGATCAATTTTCTGGAACGTTTACAATCATTCTATAATCGAACCAATTCAAATTTAAATTTGAAAATTTAAAATCGAATTGAAAATCAAATTTAAAATCAAAATAGAAAATCTTCCACTTTCAACCACTTTCAAGCCCATATCTCCTGCACCCTTATAGCTATCAAGACGCAACCACCATAGTGCACGAATGGAGACTTGAGGCTACTATCACATACAAACACCATTCATGTGCGATGTGTAGTTTTGGCTGAAAAGTGAAATATAGGGACACACACGTCCATATATATATATATATATATAACAAAAACTAAATTTAGTATTATTGGCATAATACATGAGCAAACATGAGGAAATTATAAGTATCATCATAATCTAAAAATAAACTAGAATAAAATTAAGAGGTAATAAATGTACACAATTCATCTAAAAAGTTACTTATTAAATTTAATAAGTAATATATATTCATATTTTGCATTTATAAATGATGAAAATTGTTTTTATTTCATCTTAATTGGAATTCAAGACAATTTGTGTTTATGTGTAAATAAAAATTACTAATATCCTTACATAAGATTTTATAAAAAGTAAAACAAAATTTATATTAAAAATATAAAACACCTATAGAATTTTTAATTATTAAATTAGTTAACAAGAAAATAGTTAATTTTCTTATTAAAACTATTCTGCTTAAAAAATGACATATACTTATCAGGGGTTGCTCTGAAAAATTTAAAAATATCACCAACTATTGACCAGTTTTTAATTTTCTTTCAACACTTCAAATTATTTATTACCATCAGTTTTATTTACTAATTAATGCAGGTGCTGGTAGCCTTATCAGTTTGGCATCTGGAAAGCAAAAGTAATGTGTTAAGCTGGCACTTAGAAGGAGAGGATCAGACATTCAGATCTCTGATTCAAACAAAATCTGGTAAATATGTAGCCTTGAAAGTTTCCGTCTCTTAAAGCTGTAAGAGACGTGAACTTTCAAAGACTTATGAGCTAAACACTAAGTTTTTTCAGAGGCCCATTTTTGGGAAATACTTGAGAAGTGAGTCCTATTATTTGGATAAAGAGCTGTTTGTGTTTAATGCTACATGCTCAAGTTTCATTCGAATTGGAGACCTGAATATATGACCCTCTCCTTGTTAGCAATAGGAATCATTTCTGAATAATAATCCAAATACATCTGATCACAATGTTTAATTTAAACAGTATTTCACAGGTTCTGTCATGTCAAATTTTTGTTTTAGGCCACTAAAAAAAGATCAAAGTGAAAAAATCACCCCAAAAAATTTCTGTCAGTCAATAAAAACTCAATCTGGAAACACCAGATGGCATTGCACAAAACTGCCTTCGGTTCTCAACATCATTTCCAACTTTTCTACTGGAACTTGCCATGTGACATGAAATTTCTACGTGTGTGGTGCATGGGATTCCCATTGCATATAAACTAGACATTCTGCTGATTTTCCTGAAGTGTGATATGTGATTCAATTTCACACTGAATATCGAAACAAGCAGATTAGAGTTCTTATTGCCACTTGCTATTGTCAGTGTTATATTTTTATTGCAACTTTAATAAAAATATCACCAAATGGCAATTTTGGCACTAAGCAGCACAACCCAATATATAAAACACATTATTTTTTGTAATGTAGTTTACTCAAACCTTTAAAAAGGCAGTATAATTTTAATTTTCAAACATTTTCAGTTGTCTTAATTTAAACAACCTACCATAAAATATTACCACTCAAAACTGGGTATACTTGAATTAAAACTACTGAGAAAACCTAAAACCCAGCAATTTTTTAATAAGTGCTAACATTTTTGCCCATGTTGAACAGGCATTATCAGGCAAACTGATAATGCCTGTTCAACAAAGGTAAAAACATTTCACTTATTAAAAAATTACTGGATTTTAGGTCTTCTTAGTGGTTTTGACCTTCCTTAGGATGGAAAGAAACAAATTACAGTTTAAAAATAACAAAAAAAGCTGGAATATCCTCTATTGGTAGTACTGTGGTTTATGACAAATGCAGTTTTCTGATAAGTACAGTATAATGTAGTTTATTCATTTTTATATAACTGTTTAGAGTAACACAATACAGTAGTCCAAAAAGAAATTGGAGTACAAAATACATAGAAGTTATATACAATATACTGTATCATTAACAAGTAACATTTAATACCATTCTTATTATTTTATAGTAAAATTTTTCTGTTTGAATTCCCAAATGGCAGAGTTAAACCCCAAAATCTTTATGTGATCACTTTTGGTTAATGCCATCTTGTGAGAACAAAGTTTGCACTGACAAGCACTGATTTTCATTTCAGTGCAGTTTAAGGCAATTAGAACACTTTAGGATGGAATAGTGTTCCAACCTGAATGTAACTTAATTAATAACTTTTAAACCTAGCAAATAATAGTGAGCATAATTAAGTAAAGCAATATTGGAAACATAACAAAAAGATATGCAAAAGACAAGAGTCTAGTAAAATATATATAATTCGTAACAAAACCATACACACAAACTATCATCATCATGCATGAAAAATGTATTTGATATGTTTGAATCCTACTCACGAAAGAAATGATAAATTAATAAATATAAAGCAAAACAAATTACTTTTATATTTATATTGAAATATACTTCCAATGATTTCATGATCATCAATTAACCTTCCACTCCTTTAGAAATATTACTAATGCAACAAAAAATATCCCTGACTAATACAATGGATATAAATATATTCATATAAATATTTATACAAATAGATAAGCTCATTTTTATATCTTAAAACAAAAGTTAATTACATAAAATTATACGTTTATCGCACATAATTTTATTGTAGTAAATCATTATTTAACCGACGTGTAATAACTATATTTTGTATAAATTATATAATTTACCTTAATTTTGCAAAATACATTAAAAAAAAAAAATAATTACTCGAACTATTAAAAGAACAAATCCCAATTTTGATAAAATCACATCGCTTAAATATGCTTTTCTTTTTTTTAAATGTAATTATTATATTAATATTTACAACAAAACAAATGTAAAATAAGTATAAGAGATCATAGTAGTAGAAGTTATTGTTTTCTTCACATTTATATTCTTCATTCATTATAAATGTACTGAAAAATTAAAAAAAAAATAAAATAAAATAAAGCTTAAACTTTATAAATAGATAAGAGAATATATGCATTATTATATTTTAATGCTGTGTAACAAAAGCATATTCTTGAATAAAACAGTAGCATTTACTATTAATTTTCTGAGTATAATCACCTCATATGAATGATGATTCATAAGGCTATCAAATCTTTGATTTAAGCCTAGAAAATCCACAGAATAAATAACACTTCAATAATAATTTATATGTATAAAAACATGATTAGAATTTTGTACATTGGTTTTTAACTGTTTGGAAAATGGAAAAAGTATAGAATTATAACGAATATTACAATGATCAAATGTAAGAAAATGCAGAGGAATTCGTCGATTCTTCAGTAATCATTGCAAAGAAAAGAAACTAGCGTTACCGTAGCAACCGAAAAGAAATAACATCTTATTTAGGCTTAACGGATCACGCCGGGTTGTTTACTTTAAACAACGGTTGAAATAAGCTTTACTTTGATTACAAATATTATTATATTTTATATATTTGATATCTGTATGGGCTAAAGGTATCCAATAATTCTCAACAAGAAGAGCCTATTGCTATATCATTAGGTTGACCAAGTTGTCAACCTAATTGATACAGCAGAACTAGNATATATATTAAGCTATATACGTATACATTTTTATTTTTAAGTTGATATCTTTTTATTCTTTGGGCGCTAAAAGAACTTATCCATATTCTTCGTGAGTTTGGCCAGATCAACAATGAAGATCATTCTTCTTTATGTTAGTCTGGTAAAATCCATCCATTCAACATCATCAGTTTGATGATGAAAGATGGAACTTGACACAGGACCGCATTAACACATGGGCATATCCAACCTTTTTCGGGATCTCATTTTACCGCGCATTACTAATATTTTTGTTTTGTATGTATATCTACATAATGCAGCTAAAGAAGTTGGTACGGAAGACTCAAAATTATTAACATGACTCTGACTTAGCATTTCAGACGATCGGATGAGCGAGCGGTTAAGGTGGCAGCCTATCGTTCTGGGGTATCCTGGATCGAATCCGACGTGGGGAGTGGCCCGTCCGGATATGTCGGGCACCGATCGACCTAGCCCGTCCTATTGTGGGCCCGGCCGAACCCATAATGGGCTTGTTAAAGAGGCTCTCTTAGCAAGGGCGGAAAGAGTCTTAGTGGACACTAAGGAGCTGGATGACGCAAGTTACTGTAAATGAGTCAAACCTGCTTCTCTAGAGAATCTGGGATCCAGAAAATAATTCCAAAATTACTAATTTTCGAAAAAAGTACCTGGTTATTCTAAAAAACAATACGCTGTCTCAGTCTAAAATAATTAATAGGCCTACTTTTTTTTTATGCAAAACGCATAATTCTTATATCTTTATATTTTCCTGCAGATTATTTGTTGCTTCTCAAAAACTGAAAAGAAAATGATATGGAGAATACATAGGACATTGAATGTAATGTAATAAATATTTGTAGAAATTTTAAATTAGTTTAAAAAATGTTTTTAACAATTCTCTGAATGAGCGCAAAAGTATTAAATGACTTGTTAACAATTATTTAAACAGACGGTCAAGGTGGCAGCCTTTGAGGGACTCGGGTTTTAATTTGCTTTGCTGTCTATTATATATAATAAATAGAGATTATAACATTCATTTCTGACTGAAAGAATTAAAACAATCATTTTGCATTAGAAATTTACAATTCAGATTAGAATAGGAAAATTTCTTAATTAATGCAAGGTCTATTTTCACAACATTAGCTCATTTTTCTTTGCAAAATGAATAATTTCAAAGAATTGAAGGAGTGGCACGCTTCGGGCCATGCCGAGCCCAAGGATGGCACCTCGTGTAATACGGGTGCTTCTGAAAGATGCGGAAGAGGAGTCGCATCAAACGAGTGGTCGTCATAACTCCGGACGACAGCGCCTCGTCTCTCGTCCATTATCTGGAGCGGCGATACCCCGAAGTTCCGGAATGGACGGTGGAGACACAGTCACGTGAGACGGGGCTCGACAGAAAGGAGTCCGAAGAAATGGTGGAATAATCCGTCGAGCGTAAAAGGCCTTGGTACAAAAGGTTGTTTTGCTGCTAGAAAACATAAACCTCTTCTCTGCCGAGGACTTCTTGCACGGATTTCGACTTTCTACCGAATGTGACAAAACCATCCGGAATTGACCTTTCGCCCGGCTACGACTTAATCAACTGGACTTGACTTTCCATCCCAATTTACGGACGAATACTTCGACACGATTCAAGATTCGTTCTTCCACTTCGGTTAATAACAGTTATGAGCAGTGACGAAAAGAGTAAAAATTCATAATGAAACAAAAATCAGTAAAATATGATTGAAAAACGTGGAATTTAGTAGTGAAAAAATCGCATGAAAAATAAAATTACATTAAAATGCCTTTTGATAAAAACGTTTTTAACATCAGCAGAAAAATCCTTTAAAAATCCAGAAACGAGTTGCTTAACTTTTCCGGCAACATCTGATGGCGCCATCTGTTATAACATTTTATTAAAATATTTTTATATTTTTAACTATCTGAGATAGCTGTTTTATCGCTTTTCTGCATTATTTCAATGGCTGTTTACGTATTACACAAGGGCTTTAATATATAAATATTCAAATAAATTTATTGTTTTGTAATATTTATTTGAAATGCATTAATGGTTCTTAACTGCTTTCTCAAAGATAGCAATTAATTTTGCAGGAAAAAGTAACTATAAACAATATACACTGTATATATATATAGTAGCCTATATACAGTATATTGTACTGTACATACAATTTATTTTTAGAGTAAAAAGAGAGAACATTTGTTATTTCAGTTTTCACATTTTGAATATTTTGTGGTTAGATAGGTAACATTTTATTTTATTATTATTTTAGTTTATTTAGTTCAGTGTTTTCAACTGAGAAAACTTATTATTTATTCTCTTAAAATCACATTATGTTCTGAATTAAAATAAAAGTAACTTTTTTACAGAAATTTTAACTGTAATTTTACAACTTTGTTAAATCTTCAATCCAAAAATATAAATTTCTTCTGAGAACAAGTGGAAGTTGATTCTATAAAATTTAAAATTTTTGAACGCAGACAAAATTACAATATTGATTGTATCACAATATTAATTAGTAAAATATTCTTTAAAGACTCAAAAAATTGTTTGTATTTGCTACTTCAAGAGGTTTTTTTCCTTAGCGTTGTGGAGCAATCGTCGACTGTGGGCCAACTAACAAGAACAATTGTCATTGGTAACTTTTTTCGGTAAGTTGCAAACAGTAGAATACAGTAGACCCCCATAACACGGGTTCATATGATGCGGATTCGTATCGTATACGTATAAACACGCTAAAAGAGACTCATATAATACAATAAAACGTCATCGCCGACTCGTGTGGCGACAGGATTGGTCGAATCTAGACCAATAGCGGATATTGCACAAACCGTTGAGTTTAAACGGGCACTGGACCTACTAAAAACCATTTATTATTTAATGGCCATAAAAATTATATTTATATTAATGATGTCTCCAAAGTTCAACGAATTTTTCGCAGAAAAATAATTTATCAGAAAACACGCGCCCGCCGTTCGATGCGCCGCTCCGCGACGAAAACAAGCTTAAGCAATGGAGTGGTCGAACGGTACACACTCGGTAAGTAATCCTACAATTTTTTGTTTATAGCATAGTTTATATGGATTATTCTCAAAAAAATTATACGTATTTTGGAAATTTTTAGTCAAATTAGTCTAGAATCGATTAATTTTATGGAAGAAAACTTTTCAAACAGCCGTCGTCCCTAAACTGCATACGTGCCGGGCTGTGATTGGCTTATGTATTTAAGTGACTCGTAAAACACGGAATTCATATAAAACGGAACGTATCTACCGTGTTATGGGAGGGTCTACTGTATACGGACTATGGTGGTACGGAGTCGCCATTAAGAGACGATTTATTCGTTGCATTGGTACTGTTTGTAAGGTATTATCAAGCGTTTTTTTTTTTTTGTGTTTTTTTAACTTCTAAATATATTGTAATAAACAATAAGTGTGTTATTAATATTTTAACTGTTTATGTAGACTTCAAAGAATCGGTTTTCGACATTTCGGCCTGTGTTTATTTCTAAAATTACTTTATAAAACAGCATTAACAGTATAATATAATAAATAAAATATATGCTGCTTTGTGTTTTTAGGGATTCGATGTAACCGTTCATATTGAGAAAGTTTTTAGATCAAAGCAATGGTTTTTTTTTTCATTTTTATGTAGTGTTGTCACACGATTGAAAGGCTTTTGGACTTGATTGTCTTATACTCTATTATAGTCACTGTCCTATTTTATTGCAATCTTTCAATTTTTTGAGTTAATGGTAAGTTTTGTCATCATTGTTTTAAATATTCCGTATGAATATAGGCCTATAGCAAAATTTTAAGTGTGTAATATGGCTTATTTATTATTATTTGTAAAAATCATGTATTTTTAAATCGCATCGAATAACACTACAAATTGCTATCATTCACAGGCAATCAGAAAAATGTAATTATGAACGTTAAAAGCCTATTAATTTTGTGAAATATTGAAAAGCTTAGAAATCAATTAGCTTAATTAAACAATAATATAAATATTAAATGTTTAAATAAAACAGTTTTATTAGTCATTTAAAAGCATTCATACAGCATTTTTAAAAATAACATTTTAACATGAAATAAATATATATTATAAATATACTTTACAATTAAATTGCACAATTATATTAAATTGCTAATATTTATCATTTTGTACTTTTTAATTATGCATGAGTAAATGTTTTAAATTATTAAATTGCATATTAAAATCACATTAGTTCATACTATGGGTGAATAAGGCTGCTCTATGAGGTACTGTACAGTACGTATAACATCGTTTACTAGAGTTTTATCAATAAGAAATGAATAGCAAACATCTAATTTGCGAATATTATGTTTTGCAGTGATGAATAACATATAAATAGCGTGGTTGCGGCCGAAGTTTTCACACTGTAAAACGTGAACGTCGAACGTCGAGCGCCGCTTACAAGATAGTGGCACTCGACGTTCGACGTTCACGTTTTACAGATGAAAACTTCGGCCGTAACCTCTCTAATATTAAATAACAATTGCAATATTTTTATTATTGATATATTCTGTTAGGTGAGATCCATTTTGTTATTAATTGGATGGAATTGTTAAAAATCACTTTCAAAAGGATATATGTATCTGAAATATCACATTTTACAAGAATATTGTAAATTTTATTTATATTGATATGAAATATATTTTACACTATATTATACTATATTTTTGTAATAAAGCGTTTTATTAAATGGTAATAACGAATAAATTCCTAATGAAAAGTTATTTATTCTCTTAAAATCACATTATGTTCTGAATTAAAATAAAAGTAACTTTTTTACAGAAATTTTAACTGTAATTTTACAACTTTGTTAAATCTTCAATCCAAAAATATAAATTTCTTCTGAGAACAAGTGGAAGTTGATTCTATAAAATTTAAAATTTTTGAACGCAGACAAAATTACAATATTGATTGTATCACAATATTAATTAGTAAAATATTCTTTAAAGACTCAAAAAATTGTTTGTATTTGCTACTTCAAGAGGTTTTTTTCCTTAGCGTTGTGGAGCAATCGTCGACTGTGGGCCAACTAACAAGAACAATTGTCATTGGTAACTTTTTTCGGTAAGTTGCAAACAGTAGAATACAGTAGACCCCCATAACACGGGTTCATATGATGCGGATTCGTATAACACTGCAAAAAATTGCGATCGTATACGTATAAACACNATTTGATAAACTTAAAATAAATAATTTTATCATTAGTAGCAGGCCCGTTCATATAGGCGAACTAGGCGATGGCCTAGGGCGCTTGAATTCGGGGAGGGCGGCATGGCGAAAGTACATGCATAAATTACAATAAATAATGAAAAAATAAATGTTTTTTTTATCACAATCCTTTCTCACGTGTTGATATGTGAGTAGCCATTTTGAAAGTAGCGCTGTAGTCTCACGATCGCGATATCGCGTGCTGCATATTGAATAAAAATTAGATACTCTTGGGGCGACGTCAAAGTCATTTGCATAGGGCTTTGCGTTTGCTCGGGCCGGCAGTGATTAGTAGTATTATTGAATAGAAAAGAAAATTAAAAATTTTTGCACATTTATACAATTTAAAAATTATAAAATTGGTTTTAAAAGATGAAATCTGCGATGGTCACGACATGATCATTACATAAAAATTACATAAAATACAGTCATTATTATACGAATTTCAGGGTTTTTTTTAAAGCTCTTTTCGTCCTATGGGCACTAAGAGGGCCTCTTTTTAGCAGGCTCATTACGGGTTCAGCCAGGCCTACAATGGGCGGCCGGGTGGTGAGGGACGGGACGGGGGCCGACATATCCGGTCGGATCAGCCCCGAAAAATTTCTGGGGATTTCTTCGACCCCCCGACTAACTACATACGAACGTTTGATGCAAACCGGAAGTCACGTTATTTCAATTCAAAATTTTTCCTACGGAAGCAGTTAATAGATGACCGGCACGACTCTATTGTTAAAGGAAAAGTATGATGTACAGGGGCAAACACTAATAATAATTTGAGGTGGAGAACATATATTTTAAATTTATTTAATTTAAAATATGATTTAAAATTGCAGCCCGGCACTGTGAAGATGTCACAATGAATAATTGCTCGTTTCAATTTGATCTTTTGACATGACAGAACCTGTGAAATACTATTTAAACATTGTGATCAAATGTGTTACTCGGAATTATTCATTAAAAATTATTCAAAAATGATTCCTATTACTAGCAAGGGGAGAGCCAGACGTTTCTGGTCTCCGATTTGAATGAAACTTGGCGAGTACGCAGCTTTAAACACAAGCAGCTCGTCGTTTAAATAATAGGACCCACTTCTCAAACGTTTCCTAAAAATGGGCCTCTGAAAATTTAGTGTTTAGCTTATAAGTCTTTGAAAGTTTCATATCCAAGAGTGGCGATAGACGAATGAATAAGACGCTAACAACTAGAGTTACCTTATGTAGATTCAACCCTTCGAAGTTTAGTTAATTTTACGTGTAACTTTATTATTTTACCGCATCATTAGCATTATTATTAATACAATAGCCCCTCGTTTTATTGAGGATTTGGATGTATCGCGCTTTTTTTTAGTTCCTAAATTTTAAAATAATTGTCATTTAATTTTTAAGTTTTATTGAAAAATATAATTTACACGAATTTCTAGTGATTTAATATGGAATATAGTACTGTATAATAAAATTGCAACTAATATTTTGTTTTTATATGGACAGTATTTGTCTTTAAATGCCATTGTTAAAGAAACAATAATGCTAAATGAACGTACCGTGGTATCGATGTTTAATACGATATAACCACGAATAGAATTCAGTACTGTACTTTAAAACTAAGCTTATTTTATATCAAAAACACTTGCTGATAAAAGTATAGAGGATAGAGATTTCATAATATATATAATCTGTTTAGTATAAGCCAGAATTTTTAGTACTCGGTTATATCGCGGTTTTTCTTTGTCTCCCGACAAGCGCAATGTAACGAGGGACTACTGTATTATTCCTCGCGTTTAAACTTGATAAAACAAGAGATTAGAAATTATGACGTTATTTCCTGTTTAGCGAAAATGTCACAATACCCCTTCCCCCATATCTAAAAATAAATATGAAGAAAATTTTATTTAATAACGTAAGAGACTTATTTAATCTACAGAGGCTCTTTTTCTGTAAACAGGAAATGACATCATAATTTTTAATCTCTTGTTTCATAAGCTTTAAATGTGAGGAATAATAATAATAATAGTAATAAGTAATAATAATGCGGTAAAATAATAATATTACACTAAAAAAAACTAAATTAAAAGTTNAGTTTCATATCCAAGAGTGGCGATAGACGAATGAATAAGACGCTAACAACTAGAGTTACCTTATGTAGATTCAACCCTTCGAAGTTTAGTTAATTTTACGTGTAACTTTATTATTTTACCGCATCATTAGCATTATTATTAATACAATAGCCCCTCGTTTTATTGAGGATTTGGATGTATCGCGCTTTTTTTTAGTTCCTAAATTTTAAAATAATTGTCATTTAATTTTTAAGTTTTATTGAAAAATATAATTTACACGAATTTCTAGTGATTTAATATGGAATATAGTACTGTATAATAAAATTGCAACTAATATTTTGTTTTTATATGGACAGTATTTGTCTTTAAATGCCATTGTTAAAGAAACAATAATGCTAAATGAACGTACCGTGGTATCGATGTTTAATACGATATAACCACGAATAGGATTCAGTACTGTACTTTAAAACTAAGCTTATTTTATATCAAAAACACTTGCTGATGAAAGTATAGAGGATAGAGATTTCATAATATATATAATCTGTTTAGTATAAGCCAGAATTTTTAGTACTCGGTTATATCGCGGTTTTTCTTTGTCTCCCGACAAGCGCAATGTAACGAGGGACTACTGTATTATTCCTCGCGTTTAAACTTGATAAAACAAGAGATTAGAAATTATGACGTTATTTCCTGTTTAGCGAAAATGTCACAATACCCCTTCCCCCATATCTAAAAATAAATATGAAGAAAATTTTATTTAATAACGTAAGAGACTTATTTAATCTACAGAGGCTCTTTTTCTGTAAACAGGAAATGACATCATAATTTTTAATCTCTTGTTTCATAAGCTTTAAATGTGAGGAATAATAATAATAATAGTAATAAGTAATAATAATGCGGTAAAATAATAATATTACACTAAAAAAAAACTAAATTAAAAGTTATGTAAAAGTTGCCAAAAACCCCATTATTGGATTGTGATAAGGCTCCAATACTTCAAACCCGTCACTGATTTCAATGAAAGTTTGTAACTTAAAACGTATAGTTAGCTTTGTAATTCTGATATTCTGCTATTAAATTTGTTTAAAATAAATACATTTTTAATTAAATAAATTAAAATAATTTTGTAGAAAATTGAAATGAGTTTGCATCTTACCTATATTAGCAATACTAATTCCATCACTATCTTTTTCGGAATCATCACAAACAACTTTATCTGGATTTTTGTTCCACCATGTTTCTTTTAATCCTTCCAACACTCTTTGATTCAGCAACTGAAGAATTCTATAAAAATACAAAAATGATAAATTTATTATAATTAATGTATAGATCAATATACAAACTATATTGTATATCAATGGTGCCAAACTTTTCGATTGGTGAACCAAATTGCTCATAAGTCGTAGATAGGCAGGCATGCCACAAATATTTATATTTTGTACCTTTTATAGGCTTATATAACAATAATACATCACTTATAAACGATAGAAATGGGCCTATTTCTATCATTTATAAGTGATGTGTCAAATATGTTCTTTGGCCAGATTTGGCCACTGCTGTATATTATGAATGTAATTGTTAATTACTTACGCGCTGGACATCTCATCTTTCAAAGTAGATCCTTGTTGCACAGCCAATGCTAAAGGTTTCCTACTAAACTCACTTCCGACTGATATTAAATCACAATTTGTCATCAGTGCATATTTTATTTGAGTCGAATCAGCTAAATATAAAATTAAAAATTAGTAAAAGAAGTATTTTTTTTTTTTTGTTTCAATTTTCTGAAAGTTTTGAATAATTTTATTTTTTTAAAAAAAAGAGATTGTTATATTCTTATATTTATGATTATTTAGCAAGAAATTATTAATAAATAATTAAACATTTAAATATAACTTATTTCAATAAAATGGATATAGGATGTAACATTGATGAGATAATGTGACTCAACACAGAACGATCTATCAAGGGGAAGCACCTCTCGGGAGGTCTTTCCATAGAAAACTGACCCCCTATTCAGGTGTTAGACACGTGAAGAAAACTCGAAAAACTCCTATTCCAGTGCTTTTATCAGTGCTTATATGCATTTAGGGGTTGTCCATAAATGACGTCCACACTGGAGGTGAGGGAGGAGGTTACGACAAATCGGACAAAGTCGAACAAAAGAAAGGAGAGTGGTTGAGCTTTAATGAAGGTCTGTTTATTTCATTAAATTTTATACCATTTATGAATAGTTACCTATGAAAGCAAATCCGTTAGTTGAATTACTATTTTTAACTCTTTGTACCCCTTCTTCAAATGATTGTGGCATGTTACTTTCTTTCATAGTCCACCAAATTTTGGTATATTTATCACTGACAGGATAATCCCAAACTGCGAGTTTAGCTCTTTGCGTTTCATTCAATGTGTCATCTAATGACATGTTCTTCCATATTCTATAAATATATTTAATTTTTCAGGATTAAATATAAACTAAAAAGAAATGAGCTTCATTATTATTGTTATTATTAGAGTTTCTATATAAATTTTACTCATAAAACAAATCTTCAATGTAAGCTCTTCTTTCGAAATAAGTCATAGATGATGTATCGTTTTGAGGTGCATATTTTATTTTATACTGTTTTGCCAAATCATCCAAACCTTCTATTGGAGAGTCAAGACGAGAAACTGTCAAGAAGGCTGCTAGATTAGCTGTGTAAGATGCAATAATGATAAAACCGAAAAGCCACCAAGTTGCAGCTACTAATCTTCCAGATAAATTACGAGGTGCTTCTCCACCACCTATAGAAAATTTTTAAATATTTATTTGGAAAACATTTATTAAAAATTAAATATGTGACAGAATATATTACCCTGTGGAGTTAGTGAGGTCATGCAAAACCATAAACATTCCTTAGCAGTAAAATCTCTATTTTCTTCGTCATCTTTATATTTTTCTCGATTATTATGAAAACTATAAGGGCTCAACCGATCAAACAAATACATAAGAAAGCTAGAAAAAAATCATACAACTTAAGAATTGTTTAAATGTTAATTAAAGCTAAAATTAAGATTTACCTTGTGAAAAAATATGCTGCTAAAATGCATCCCCATACTTTATTTTCTAAAACAGTTAAAAATTTGAATAATGAAGAGGCCACTTTGGTTTTTTTCATTAATATAGTGATCCCTACTAAATCATAATAAGGCACTGTAAAATCAACAACTGTCTCTCTTTCTGCCATAACTGATATTGGTCCTAATGCTATTTCAGCTTTCTATTAAGAAAAAAAAAACACTATGTATTATTATAAATTTTTAATAAAACATAATTATAAGAGAAATATAAACAAATATTGATAGATATAAACGCAAAAGTAAAGTAATGAATAATATCTGTAGTTTAAAATAATATAGTTTAAATATTATAATACCACTTCTACTGCAATAATAATAATAATTTAACAATTATGACAGTGTGGGATTAATGAGATAAGATTATTAAGATGAAAAATTTCCTCAATCTTAACACAAATTTACGAGGTTTTCCGGGTTAATAAAAAAAACAACCGGGATCTCGTTTGAGAAACTCTAATGCTAACAAATGCAAATTTAAATCTTTCATGAGCTTAATTTCTTATCTTTTAACATTTAAATTAACATAGGTCGATTGTTATAAAAGAATAAAAATTATAACTTACTCTATCTTTTAAATCTTTTATCATTCCATTCCATTCTCCTTTTTCATTCATTGCACCGAATTTTCCATCTTCAGTCTCAAAAATAGTATATTCAAACTTTAGAATTTTCTTAATTTCATTCAGAAGATCAATACAGTATCCAACATATTCAATTGATCCTGAATTATTAACTTTATATATAAAAGGAGGTTGCTGTTGAAAAATATAAAATTATTTTAAAAAATTGTTATAAATCTTTAAAAATAAATTTTATAATATTTTTATTAAATTATGTTATGTTGCATTAAAATATTGTTGGGGGGTTTAAAAAAAATATATATATATTTAAAAAAACCGCATCTAAGTACCATTTATATAGGCCTAACTGTGTAAAGTTTTTCGCGTAGAAATAATGATGCAATTATTAAAATTAATTATAAAATTACATATAAATTTATATAATTGTATATTGTAATATCCTGGATCAGTTATAAGTCATGTTTCTAAAATATTATAAACTGTTAGAAACTTGTGAATTTTCTATATAAATTTTAAGTTAATAGTATAAACAAGTTATATATAGAAGACTACTTTCTGCAGCTATCCTATATATTTCTGCTAGCGTATGTACTATTTGAAAAGAAATACTGGAAGTTATTTTTGTGATGTCTTTTAAGGGATTTAAGCGTTTACCTTGGCTTCCATTAGTCGTTCCTGGCTAGTGACTACTATATAAAGACATAACGGTGATTTACCTACTTTCGATTTTACATTTTTTATTTAAATTCTTTGTATTCATTTACAATTCAAAGACTTTCCTTAAACGGAGTAAGATAGATGATCGACGTGACTCCATTGTTAACAGGGAAAGTGTGATGTACAGGGGCAAGACACTGAGAACATTGACAAAAAAATTTGCAGTCTGGCATTAAATAAATAAATAATTGCAATGTGATTTACATTCTATAATTATGCAAGTCTAACATGCAGCCAATAAACTATAAACGATGCCATTATTTCTCTTAGTTTCAAACACAATCGAGTTTCAAGTAGTCTTACTTATAGCACGTTAGAATATAAAAGTTCGTCGTAATCTGTATATATTTTGATAGTAGTTATATATTTATTATGCTTTTATAATTACGTAGTTTTCGTATATATATTATTTCAATGCTTACAAATGAAAACTTACTATAATTGTTGTCACTCTGTACATAGTGACTGCTGTGTATTTACTTAGACTTTCTCCCTTTTCAAATTGTAAACGCCCTGAATCTTTTCCAGCAATCCATTTTCCAATCTGAAATTAATTTAAATTTAAATAATATCTGTGAAAGATAAAATTAATCTTTTATTGTTTAAATTAAAGTACCTTATTGTTTAAATTTCTTAAAAATTAAAAAAAAATCATTGTTAAGCAACGATAACTAAAAGGTTTCACTGATTTTTCTTAGTACATTACTTCTCTGTTGTTACCTATTAAATTTTATAAAACTTAAAAATAGATGAATTAGACTCTAATTTAATGCCTTTTTGAAAGTGTTAGTTAAAATATGATACACTTAATATTCTGCATGCCTGTAAATCTAATAGTAACTGAGTGTCTATAATGAAAACCTAAATTCCCATTCAGAAATCAGTCTATTGTTTCTAAATGAAAAGTATTTAGATTCAGGATTAAAGTAGTTTTGCGTGTTGTAATGTGTATATTGTATTTACACTGAATTCGTTGTTCCTTATTATATGCAATTATATTTAAATCTGGAATAATATAGCTTTATACATTCACAGAGTTGAAATACATATTTCCTTTGTGGTGTTATTTGCGTAATAAAATATGTCTGTTTTTTTCCATCTGTATATTCAAGCATCGTTCACCACCTTTTATCCAACTGGGTAGCTTATGAACAAACTTATGAACAAATTACGTGTTTTATTAACAAGTAAGTAAAGAATAAATGAAAACCTTGATACAATAATTCTCGGTTTACGACTGACATAAATTTTTGGATTCGGGTCTCCTTGAAACGTCGAGAAATGAAAAAAAAATTCGGGGGGGTAATTTCTGTATGTATGGATTTACTGTGTGGGGCGGACACGATTTTGTTCACCCTGTTTGAAGCTTAATAACTGCTGTTCCTTTTGTCGAAAATTTCTAAAATTTTGCAGAAAGGTTTATTTATCAGAGGGATCGATGCTGTTAAATTTTGCTGGTTAAAGGTCGAGGGGGTGGAGAGATAATGTGGGTCGTGTGTATCTCCAGTAGGGTCGGGCTTAATGACGATTTTACTCGTTATTAGCATTTACAATTTTTTTATTATTATAAAACTTATCCCTATTCTAAAAATTAAGCTTTTTGTCGTTAAAAATATAAATAGTTTTTTAATATAATATGATAAGAGATGACGCCATTAAAATTTTAAAAGTTGCCTGGGAAAGTTGAGCAACTCGTTGCTGGTTTCTTTTTTTATTAACTTCCTCTGTATAATATCATATAATTCAAACTGTATATACATCATAAGAATAAACATGAATGAATTATTAGTGTTAACATTTATTTTTTAAATTTTAGCTTAATTAGTATTTATTCTGAAGGACTTATCTACTTCATACGTAACAAATCAACTCAGATTTCAAATTTTACTAAGATTAAGTTAAAATACTGCATGTTAATGTCCTTAATATACAAATTTTTATTAATTTTTCATGTAAATGTATGGACTTAACATATTTATAAAATGATAAATATAAACTAATTATTTTGATAATTNTGCCTTTTTGAAAGTGTTAGTTAAAATATGATACACTTAATATTCTGCATGCCTGTAAATCTAATAGTAACTGAGTGTCTATAATGAAAACCTAAATTCCCATTCAGAAATCAGTCTATTGTTTCTAAATGAAAAGTATTTAGATTCAGGATTAAAGTAGTTTTGCGTGTTGTAATGTGTATATTGTATTTACACTGAATTCGTTGTTCCTTATTATATGCAATTATATTTAAATCTGGAATAATATAGCTTTATACATTCACAGAGTTGAAATACATATTTCCTTTGTGGTGTTATTTGCGTAATAAAATATGTCTGTTTTTTTCCATCTGTATATTCAAGCATCGTTCACCACCTTTTATCCAACTGGGTAGCTTATGAACAAACTTATGAACAAATTACGTGTTTTATTAACAAGTAAGTAAAGAATAAATGAAAACCTTGATACAATAATTCTCGGTTTACGACTGACATAAATTTTTGGATTCGGGTCTCCTTGAAACGTCGAGAAATGAAAAAAAAATTCGGGGGGTAGTTTCTGTATGTATGGATTTACTGTGTGGGGCGGACACGATTTTGTTCACCCTGTTTGAAGCTTAATAACTGCTGTTCCTTTTGTCGAAAATTTCTAAAATTTTGCAGAAAGGTTTATTTATCAGAGGGATCGATGCTGTTAAATTTTGCTGGTTAAAGGTCGAGGGGGTGGAGAGATAATGTGGGTCGTGTGTATCTCCAGTAGGGTCGGGCTTAATGACGATTTTACTCGTTATTAGCATTTACAATTTTTTTATTATTATAAAACTTATCCCTATTCTAAAAATTAAGCTTTTTGTCGTTAAAAATATAAATAGTTTTTTAATATAATATGATAAGAGATGACGCCATTAAAATTTTAAAAGTTGCCTGGGAAAGTTGAGCAACTCGTTGCTGGTTTCTTTTTTTATTAACTTCCTCTGTATAATATCATATAATTCAAACTGTATATACATCATAAGAATAAACATGAATGAATTATTAGTGTTAACATTTATTTTTTAAATTTTAGCTTAATTAGTATTTATTCTGAAGGACTTATCTACTTCATACGTAACAAATCAACTCAGATTTCAAATTTTACTAAGATTAAGTTAAAATACTGCATGTTAATGTCCTTAATATACAAATTTTTATTAATTTTTCATGTAAATGTATGGACTTAACATATTTATAAAATGATAAATATAAACTAATTATTTTGATAATTTCACTCGCCAAATTCCAAATAAAATATATGGTTTTTAAATCATTTATTTTTAAGCACGATAATGATATTTAGTATTACAAAAATTTTGTTTTCTTATAAATAAAATTTACAGCAGATGATATAGTTTTGATTTTCATATGTAAATTTAATAAGTTTACGTTATTACTATGGAAATAAATGAAAAAAGAGAAAAACTTACAACGCTTTTTCCTTCTCGCTGTCGTTTATTATTGTAAAATGTCAATTTATTTATACTGAGTTCAATTTCTTCATAATTGGCACTGCTTGTAAACATAAATTTTCCGAACGTTCCATCAAATGACAACTACATTAAAAATAAACATGTTAAAAAATTACTATTAGCTTAATACGGTATAAAGTTTTATGAATTTATTTAATTATGACAATAGACTTGTATAAAATATTTAAAAATTAATATAATCGCTCTCATCTTACCAGTTACATAACAATTCTAATTTAATTGAAGTTTTTTCACAATTCAATAGAGAGGTTGCGGCCGAAGTTTTCATCTCTCAAACGTGAACGTCGAACGTCGAGCGCCGCTATCTTGTAAGCGGCGCTCGACGTCCGACGTTAACGTTTCAGAGATGAAAACTTCGGCTGCAACCTCGCTAATGTTCGCTTTTTCCCCANGTAAAATAACAAGGTGATTAAAAAAGAATCTGAAGATATAAAAAAAATCGCATTTGAAATTATAAAAACACATTAAAAAAACAAAGTCAGAACAACTCAAGCAATTAATTGCTAGAAAGTAATTTTAACATCGGATGATTAAATTTTAAAAAAAAAAGCCGCAAAATAATCCTAAAACGAATTAAATTATTATCGTTGAAAAGGCGTTATAAAACAATTATTTTAAATAATAATAATATTTCTTGATTTCTTCAAAATTTTGTACGTAATCTATTGTCCTGAAAATATGAAGAATCCATTCAATTATTTTCAATGGTCACCAGAAGGATTTTGTCTCCAGAGAGCACAATTTAGATCAATTGACCACCAGCTGATTCACTAAGATCGTGTTCTGTAAATAGGTTTGCTTCTACTTATATTATTTTCACACGTTTTCGTGAGTGTAGATAATACAGTGGTTGCGGCCGAAGTTTTTATCTCTCAAACGTCAAAGCCGAACGTCAAACGCCGCTATCTTGTAAGCGGCGCTCGACGTTCGACGTTCACGTTTGAGAGATGAAAACTTCGGCCTCAACCTCACTAATAAGTTAGAATTAGTTTGGAAAACGACCAGTATCGTCAATACAGGACAATTTCTTGTTAATTATTAATAATTAATGGAAATTTAGACATCTCGAAAATAATATAAGCATTAACCAGACATTTGAAATCATAAATCACTTGTACATACTTAGGAAACATAAAAACATTTTTCACTGTTGGAAATTATAATAGCACAAATTGACTAACCGAAGATTAATTTATGAATTTTAAAGTAGACTTTCATTATTTTTTAAATGGTAATTATTAAAGAACGTGTTTTAAGGTGCAAAATTATGGTGGGAAAAGGGAAAAAAGCGTCTGGAAAAGTATACAGATAGTGTTTTTTTTTTTTTTTTTTTTTTTTTTTTTTTTTTTTTTTTTTTTTTTTTTTTTTTTTTTTTTTTTTTTTTTTTTTTTTTTTTTTTTTTTTTTTTTTTTTTTTTTTTTTTTTTTTTTTTTTTTTTTTTTTTTTTTTTTTTTTTTTTTTTTTTTTTTTTTTTTTTTTTTTTTTTTTTTTTTTTTTTTTTTTTTTTTTTTTTTTTTTTTTTTTTTTTTTTTTTTTTTTTTTTTTTTTTTTTTTTTTTTTTTTTTTTTTTTTTTTTTTTTTTTTTTTTTTTTTTTTTTTTTTTTTTTTTTTTTTTTTTTTTTTTTTTTTTTTTTTTTTTTTTTTTTTTTTTTTTTTTTTTTTTTTTTTTTTTTTTTTTTTTTTTTTTTTTTTTTTTTTTTTTTTTTTTTTTTTTTTTTTTTTTTTTTTTTTTTTTTTTTTTTTTTTTTTTTTTTTTTTTTTTTTTTTTTTTTTTTTTTTTTTTTTTTTTTTTTTTTTTTTTTTTTTTTTTTTTTTTTTTTTTTTTTTTTTTTTTTTTTTTTTTTTTTTTTTTTTTTTTTTTTTTTTTTTTTTTTTTTTTTTTTTTTTTTTTTTTTTTTTTTTTTTTTTTTTTTTTTTTTTTTTTTTTTTTTTTTTTTTTTTTTTTTTTTTTTTTTTTTTTTTTTTTTTTTTTTTTTTTTTTTTTTTTTTTTTTTTTTTTTTTTTTTTTTTTTTTTTTTTTTTTTTTTTTTTTTTTTTTTTTTTTTTTTTTTTTTTTTTTTTTTTTTTTTTTTTTTTTTTTTTTTTTTTTTTTTTTTTTTTTTTTTTTTTTTTTTTTTTTTTTTTTTTTTTTTTTTTTTTTTTTTTTTTTTTTTTTTTTTTTTTTTTTTTTTTTTTTTTTTTTTTTTTTTTTTTTTTTTTTTTTTTTTTTTTTTTTTTTTTTTTTTTTTTTTTTTTTTTTTTTTTTTTTTTTTTTTTTTTTTTTTTTTTTTTTTTTTTTTTTTTTTTTTTTTTTTTTTTTTTTTTTTTTTTTTTTTTTTTTTTTTTTTTTTTTTTTTTTTTTTTTTTTTTTTTTTTTTTTTTTTTTTTTTTTTTTTTTTTTTTTTTTTTTTTTTTTTTTTTTTTTTTTTTTTTTTTTTTTTTTTTTTTTTTTTTTTTTTTTTTTTTTTTTTTTTTTTTTTTTTTTTTTTTTTTTTTTTTTTTTTTTTTTTTTTTTTTTTTTTTTTTTTTTTTTTTTTTTTTTTTTTTTTTTTTTTTTTTTTTTTTTTTTTTTTTTTTTTTTTTTTTTTTTTTTTTTTTTTTTTTTTTTTTTTTTTTTTTTTTTTTTTTTTTTTTTTTTTTTTTTTTTTTTTTTTTTTTTTTTTTTTTTTTTTTTTTTTTTTTTTTTTTTTTTTTTTTTTTTTTTTTTTTTTTTTTTTTTTTTTTTTTTTTTTTTTTTTTTTTTTTTTTTTTTTTTTTTTTTTTTTTTTTTTTTTTTTTTTTTTTTTTTTTTTTTTTTTTTTTTTTTTTTTTTTTTTTTTTTTTTTTTTTTTTTTTTTTTTTTTTTTTTTTTTTTTTTTTTTTTTTTTTTTTTTTTTTTTTTTTTTTTTTTTTTTTTTTTTTTTTTTTTTTTTTTTTTTTTTTTTTTTTTTTTTTTTTTTTTTTTTTTTTTTTTTTTTTTTTTTTTTTTTTTTTTTTTTTTTTTTTTTTTTTTTTTTTTTTTTTTTTTTTTTTTTTTTTTTTTTTTTTTTTTTTTTTTTTTTTTTTTTTTTTTTTTTTTTTTTTTTTTTTTTTTTTTTTTTTTTTTTTTTTTTTTTTTTTTTTTTTTTTTTTTTTTTTTTTTTTTTTTTTTTTTTTTTTTTTTTTTTTTTTTTTTTTTTTTTTTTTTTTTTTTTTTTTTTTTTTTTTTTTTTTTTTTTTTTTTTTTTTTTTTTTTTTTTTTTTTTTTTTTTTTTTTTTTTTTTTTTTTTTTTTTTTTTTTTTTTTTTTTTTTTTTTTTTTTTTTTTTTTTTTTTTTTTTTTTTTTTTTTTTTTTTTTTTTTTTTTTTTTTTTTTTTTTTTTTTTTTTTTTTTTTTTTTTTTTTTTTTTTTTTTTTTTTTTTTTTTTTTTTTTTTTTTTTTTTTTTTTTTTTTTTTTTTTTTTTTTTTTTTTTTTTTTTTTTTTTTTTTTTTTTTTTTTTTTTTTTTTTTTTTTTTTTTTTTTTTTTTTTTTTTTTTTTTTTTTTTTTTTTTTTTTTTTTTTTTTTTTTTTTTTTTTTTTTTTTTTTTTTTTTTTTTTTTTTTTTTTTTTTTTTTTTTTTTTTTTTTTTTTTTTTTTTTTTTTTTTTTTTTTTTTTTTTTTTTTTTTTTTTTTTTTTTTTTTTTTTTTTTTTTTTTTTTTTTTTTTTTTTTTTTTTTTTTTTTTTTTTTTTTTTTTTTTTTTTTTTTTTTTTTTTTTTTTTTTTTTTTTTTTTTTTTTTTTTTTTTTTTTTTTTTTTTTTTTTTTTTTTTTTTTTTTTTTTTTTTTTTTTTTTTTTTTTTTTTTTTTTTTTTTTTTTTTTTTTTTTTTTTTTTTTTTTTTTTTTTTTTTTTTTTTTTTTTTTTTTTTTTTTTTTTTTTTTTTTTTTTTTTTTTTTTTTTTTTTTTTTTTTTTTTTTTTTTTTTTTTTTTTTTTTTTTTTTTTTTTTTTTTTTTTTTTTTTTTTTTTTTTTTTTTTTTTTTTTTTTTTTTTTTTTTTTTTTTTTTTTTTTTTTTTTTTTTTTTTTTTTTTTTTTTTTTTTTTTTTTTTTTTTTTTTTTTTTTTTTTTTTTTTTTTTTTTTTTTTTTTTTTTTTTTTTTTTTTTTTTTTTTTTTTTTTTTTTTTTTTTTTTTTTTTTTTTTTTTTTTTTTTTTTTTTTTTTTTTTTTTTTTTTTTTTTTTTTTTTTTTTTTTTTTTTTTTTTTTTTTTTTTTTTTTTTTTTTTTTTTTTTTTTTTTTTTTTTTTTTTTTTTTTTTTTTTTTTTTTTTTTTTTTTTTTTTTTTTTTTTTTTTTTTTTTTTTTTTTTTTTTTTTTTTTTTTTTTTTTTTTTTTTTTTTTTTTTTTTTTTTTTTTTTTTTTTTTTTTTTTTTTTTTTTTTTTTTTTTTTTTTTTTTTTTTTTTTTTTTTTTTTTTTTTTTTTTTTTTTTTTTTTTTTTTTTTTTTTTTTTTTTTTTTTTTTTTTTTTTTTTTTTTTTTTTTTTTTTTTTTTTTTTTTTTTTTTTTTTTTTTTTTTTTTTTTTTTTTTTTTTTTTTTTTTTTTTTTTTTTTTTTTTTTTTTTTTTTTTTTTTTTTTTTTTTTTTTTTTTTTTTTTTTTTTTTTTTTTTTTTTTTTTTTTTTTTTTTTTTTTTTTTTTTTTTTTTTTTTTTTTTTTTTTTTTTTTTTTTTTTTTTTTTTTTTTTTTTTTTTTTTTTTTTTTTTTTTTTTTTTTTTTTTTTTTTTTTTTTTTTTTTTTTTTTTTTTTTTTTTTTTTTTTTTTTTTTTTTTTTTTTTTTTTTTTTTTTTTTTTTTTTTTTTTTTTTTTTTTTTTTTTTTTTTTTTTTTTTTTTTTTTTTTTTTTTTTTTTTTTTTTTTTTTTTTTTTTTTTTTTTTTTTTTTTTTTTTTTTTTTTTTTTTTTTTTTTTTTTTTTTTTTTTTTTTTTTTTTTTTTTTTTTTTTTTTTTTTTTTTTTTTTTTTTTTTTTTTTTTTTTTTTTTTTTTTTTTTTTTTTTTTTTTTTTTTTTTTTTTTTTTTTTTTTTTTTTTTTTTTTTTTTTTTTTTTTTTTTTTTTTTTTTTTTTTTTTTTTTTTTTTTTTTTTTTTTTTTTTTTTTTTTTTTTTTTTTTTTTTTTTTTTTTTTTTTTTTTTTTTTTTTTTTTTTTTTTTTTTTTTTTTTTTTTTTTTTTTTTTTTTTTTTTTTTTTTTTTTTTTTTTTTTTTTTTTTTTTTTTTTTTTTTTTTTTTTTTTTTTTTTTTTTTTTTTTTTTTTTTTTTTTTTTTTTTTTTTTTTTTTTTTTTTTTTTTTTTTTTNTTCTTTAAAACTCTAGTTCTATAAAAAAGATTTCTATCATATGGCGTAAGATGATCATTTATATAAATTTTATATTCTTCATTTATTATATTACAAACACTAGAGGTAATTTTTAGTTTATTTTCTTTAATTTTATCGACAATTTTTTGCTTCGTATTAACATTAACCAATTTCACTACAATCGGCTTTGTCTTACGCAACAATGAATTTCTTTCATTCGGAAGAGACTTAGGCCTATAGCAATTTACAATAGATAATTTATCAAATGTATCATCCACAAATGACAAAACTTTATAAACAATATCAGGTAAATTTTCATTTATCAAAGTAGGAAGTCCAACAATTTCTAAACTTGAATTATTAACATCTTGCTCTATAGATCTTAATTTTTCGTGTGTTTTATTTAATTCTCGTCTCAATATAGAATTTTCTTGTTTTAACTCTGCAATTTCAACCGAAAAATTTTTATTGTTAATCTCCAAAGAGTCAAGACGGTCATTAATTTTATCAAATTTATCTGATAAAAATTGAATCGATTCCTTTATACTTTTATTTGTTTCATTTATATTTTCCATACCTCCATAAATTTGTTTAATTTCTAAAAATAGTTTATCAAACCGGGTTGACTCTATTGGCTCGAATGTCGTTGGAGTGAGCAAGAAGTTACTTTGCTTATTATTACAATCACTCGGTTTGGCATTTAATGGAGAAATAAAGTGAGTTGACTCACCTAATTCATCTTCTTGTCCCAATTCCAAAACTGAATTTGCATTTCCCTTTAAAGTTTTCACTGGTCTACAGGATCCACATTTCCAATTTTTTTTTATAAGTTTTACTAAATTTATGAAAAGCAGCACAACCAATTCCGTAACAGTAAAAATGAGCATTTTTCAAACATTGTGAACACGAAAGTAAATCATTATCCAAAATTTTTAAATTGCAGACACAACATGAGAAGGAACGACGGTTAGCCATGCATCAAGGACACCAAGCGGATATAACCTCCTAAATATGTTTGATAAACATATTTAGGAGAGTAAACATGATATTTACTAGGTTTTAACCAACTTGTTATACTGGATTACGCACAATATTTCTGTTTTCGAAAGTAAGTCGCTGACGCTTTGAATTCAGGAGATCCTTGTATGTAGAGAAACTCCACCCAATATCAACTAAATCCAATGGAGAATATCTTGTAAGCACTCGGAAAGATAGTTCGGTCGAAGTTGCAAAGGTTTCCAAATCCGGATTGTTTCTCAAATTTAATTCAAATTTGATTTTGACAAATCTGTCAAGGTTGTTCTTTACAGTCATCAAATTCTTCTACCGTTCCTTCTTCTTCATACCTTCTTCTTCCATATTCTGAATCAAATCAGGATAGAGAATCAAATCAAATATTTATAGATAGCCATGTACTGCAAAAAGTTCCAACTTTAGGTGATCTTTGTCATTAAGCAATTGTTGAGCCTGCTTGTTGGTTGCTGCGTCCATTGAATCTAAGTCAAATATAATGAAAGCATTTGATTTTGTCAAATTTTTCTCACAAGAAAACTATGTATCTTATCCAAGTATCAATATTTCACCTGGTTATGATAGGGATTGTGGTAGGTGGAACACAGTGTTTTCTCGGTACAAAACTTGACGACTACGGGCTTTTACAAGAATCTTCTTCAGAGCAGTAATGAAGTCATTTACCCTAGTGTATTTCCTCCCTGACATCTTCACAAACACGGTGTAGTCCATGAGAAATACATGTCACTTGGTTGAGGTTGGGGTTCATGGCCTTCAATTATTGGAAAGCATATAGCGTACTTGATCGCTCACCACAAGCCTAATTTTTCGTACTGTATGTTCACTGGCAACAGTTTCATGCATGAATCATTAAATGACTGCTTTACTGTGCAGACATTTGTCTTCTCGATATCTTAAAAAGCATCGTTTTAACCCATTCACCGGATAATAAAAACATCAGCACATTCAATGTATATCTTGCAGCTCATCGGTAGTTTCATCTAATTCTAGAAGAAATTGGATTAATGGAAGGTCTTACCACGGAATTAATCTAATTCCATGGTAAGATCTGCACTGAACTCACTCGATGACTGCTACTTTTCAGATCTTGAAGTGAAAGCAAGTATCAAGATAGTTTGCTTAGGTTTTGACTTGTGAAATTCAACGTTCTTCGCATGCTTGCTGAACCAGATGTGTTCGTTTATTGTCTCTTTGATGATTCTCGTCGATCGCATATTTACATCGAGGACGACACATTGAAGAATGCGACCATCAGTTTCAATGAATTGCATTTTGAATTCTTCTGAAAGTGCATGTAACTTTACCTTATTAACCTTTAACATTATTTTATTGTGAACAATGGGTTCTAGTTTGGACTGGTACAAAGCTAACACAACAAACTATATAGAGCAACTATCCATCACAGAGTCCAAGGCCAAAATGAAATGGTCTGTTTTTCTGAGCCTTCTTTAAATACTGGACATGGACCTCATACAGAATTGGCAAATAGATCGCTACTTTTTTGTCAAAGTTTATGTTTTCTTTTGTGGTGTGTTTTCTACATTATCTTGCTACAACGATGGTAAATATACCATTTTATAGCTCTCGTTCTGCTCTACAAAATAAGGGCATGGAATTTCATGTAACTGCTCAAGAACACTGAAAATAGTTTATTTTATTTTATTTATTTTTTTTTTGTTCAATTTAAAATATTGTCCTTTTAAAAACACGGAGAAAAGTGAGGAAAAAGATACTGAAGCATCAACAAGAACTGAAAAGGGAGAGAAATAACGAAAAGGGTGCAAAAATGTGTAACATAGTGTGTCCATTTCGCTCCATTTCATGCTTCAAAATATATATCTTAAACTATCGATATGAAAACAGTTTTATTTTTGAAAAGATGCTGCACCTTAAAATCCTTCCTGTAGTAATTATGAATAAATAAGCATATTGCTATATACGGGCGTAGCAAAACTAGTTAACCATTATTAAGACTAAACTGTTGTCTTATTTGAACATTTTATTACTCACATAGAAAATTCGGAATTGTCCGAATTTGACAATAGATTCAGCTCAAAAAGACCAGAAGATGGGCTATCGATATCATCATAGATAGCCTTACGGTAGGTGAAAACTGGGTCAACTTCATTTTCTTAAATAGAAATTCCTTTTCTTTATTTTATATTATGATTCTACATTCAAAACAAACTTTTATCTGAAATACTTTTTTCGAAAAATGCAATTATCAGAAGTTATGAGCGTTTGAATTTTATGCGGCCACCACATCGTGCACCCGTGAATTTGTAGACATATGCACTATGCTTTGTCACTAGTTCTGTATCAGTTCATTGAAGAAAAAAGAATGATTATCTTTAAGAATGTATCTCTTTAAACTTATTATTTATATTTGCTCTGACAGCTTGAAATGATCCCGAATGTATGGAGGTGTGCAATGTAATAACTCAATGTGTCTGGGCGGACATATTGAGTTACCTAAAACTGTCTGCCCAGACACTTTCATTGGCAGACACATCGGAGGACACTGGCTCTGGCTCCAGTTATGGGAGCAATCATGGCAACTTCAACAGTTATATAAAAAAAAAGTTAAACTGTGCAAAGTATCAGAACAGAATTTACATAATTTACAGTTTTACATGAGTACAGTTTTACAAAGTCTTGTATACAACATAAAAGACTTTTGAGAGTATGGTTAAGAATTAAAACCTTAATATTAGAGATATTACCTGTTTTAATGTTGTCATTAGACGAATTTTTCCCCTCTGCTCTTTCATTTCTTCAGTTAATGTCATATCACTGCATTCAGGATAATCTAATTTTTCTGGCCAATTTCCTTTTTTGATCATGTCACGTACTGTCTTAGCCACGAAATCACCCAAATCAAAGTAAAATGTGGCTTCCATCTAATATAAAGATCAACGGAATATTTAATAGAATACAGAAACATAAATTTATATTTATTTGTTAATGTTTATAAAAAAAAACTTTTATAATTTACGTCAGAAGAATATTTTGGAAGTTTTCTCATAATCCATTCCAACCTATCTTGTTTTTTTGCTATTGGTTTTAGAAGTAGGGAAGTCATATTTTTACAGTGGCAATCCGGTTCTTGGTTTTCCTAAATTATATAAATTTTAGGTAACAGTAAGTTATTTACAAAATGTTCAAAATTCTACTATTAATAAAATCATGAAGTATCATATAAATTTAGATACATATTAAATTTAAAATATAAAAATTAAATATATTTTTATCTATTATTACTTGTAATATAATAATAGTAACCTTCATACTTTTCAAAAATATGCTGAAACAATAGATTTATATATCGTAAAAATAAAGATTGAATGTAATAATACATGTACGGTATAGGTCAAGAAAATTGAATTTTTACGTAAATTATCTTGCAAAAAGCTTATGCATGTAACTTAAATAGAAATTTTAACTTTTGGCCAGAAATAAATGTAAACTGTTGGCTGTAGAGATGCCACCCAATATAGATGGCCTGAAAAAATCATCAGGGCCTAATTTGGTGCAAGGCAGGCAAGGCACTTGCCTGGGACTCGTAATAGATTCTAAATGTGCCATTGTTTTATTAATATTAAGAATTACTATCATTAAGAATTAGATAAAGTTTGTACAGTAGACCCCTTATAACACTGTAGATAATTCCGTGTTATATGAATTCCATGCTGTACGAGTCACTTAGATTTTACAAATACGTGTGCCGGGCTGTGAACGGCTTACGTATTTGTAAAATCTAAGTGACTCGTACAACACGGAATTATCTACAGTGTTATAGGGGGGGTCTACTGTATATGCGCATTAGATCTGTTCTGTGAAGTTCAGAATAAAGCAGTGTTCTTTGAGAAAAATATAAAGTAATGCTTTTTGCTGCATAATTTTATTGTAGCTCCAAAATACAATGTAAGTAAGATATTCAAATATAAAAATAAAAAAACGCATTACAACGCATTAATATTTTTGTAGAACGAATTATATTGTTATGTAGTTTTTCATAATTGGGTGATACGATCAGATAACACTAGTGAAACTTCGGCATCATTCCGTAGGTAACTTTTGTGTCAGGACCCTGATTTTGACTAGATGGATTGCATATGTTATAACCTATTTTTGCAATTATAGTTTTTCTTTCTTTCAAGTACAGTACATGTTTTGCATGTTTCTATTTAACATATATTATTTGGCATATATATTTTGCAAATGGTAGCGCTATTGAGCGATTTTTAAATTTTATTTCTATTTTTTTTACATGCTGCTGACTGTTTGGAGGAATCAGTTGTAAGTTATTTGGATAGTTTAAAAAGTCGGTATAAAAAATTGCAGAGGTCAAAGCTATGACAAAGCGTCGAATTTAGCTGGCAAATACAATGGTCTTCAAGCAAAAATAAAAAGTTAAGGTGAAAGCGGTCATTATGTTCTATGCAGCAGTCATTCTTTAAATCTTGTAGGTAATTTTGCTGGAGATTGTTACCCATTGGCAGTTAGATATTTCAGTACTATTCAAAATATTTACACTTTTTTGCTGTGTCGACATTCCGATGGAATTTAGTAAAAAATCTTTTCCAAGAGAACAATAAACCACTTACTATCAAACCTATTAGTGACACTAGTTGGTCAGCAAGAGCGGATGCTATTAGAGCCATTATCAGTGGATTCAATGAAATTAAATCAGCACTTCAAAAATTAGAAGAAGACGTGTCTCAAAGAAGATTAACCCAAATAGAAGCAACAGATTTATATGATAATATAAAAAGTTTTGAATTTTGCTTAATGACTGTGTTGTGAAACAAAATATTAAACAGGATCAATGCAACAAGCAAATCGTTGCAAGAAATAACTGGCAATTTAAATGTAATTTGCACTTTATATGAAAGTCTTATAAGATTTGTTCAGGAATTAAGAAACGATTTTGATTCTATTGAAGAACAAGCTAAAGAATTATGTGGCAATTTTACAGATGCAATTTATTCGACAGATTTTCTGAGAAGCCGTAAACAAAAGTGCCAATTTGATGATAATTGTGAAGATGATATTCATCTTCACAATTATCATCAACTGAATCAATTTTCTAAGGATAATGCAGATTCTTCTGAGATAATAAATAACATGTATAAAACATTTACATTCATGAGATTCGTGACGTTCAGTTTAATACTATTTTAATAATCACATAGAAAAGAATCCCCAAGAAATGTTATATTTTATTATAAATAATAATATAATATCAACCTTTTCCAATATGCAAATTATCTGCACTATCGATACTAAATATCGAATCTGAGTTAGTACAAAAATAATATATTGATTATTTTATGTTTGTAGTGGTTTTAAAATAAAAATTACTTTAAATTACAATTTTATTTATATTTGTAGTAATACAAAATTTGTAAAGGGGCTCATAAACATTATTTTGCATAGGGCCCACGAAGGTCTAAATTAGGCCCTGGATATCATAACGTTAAAGATGTGAATCGATAATCTGAGATAAATTCTTCAGAGCTGTTGAAAATATTGCAAAAGCTCTGAAGAATCTCATAGAACGGAATTCACGCATTACAGAGTCCCATACACATGACATAAGAACAGCCACAGTTTTTGTGGATGATGCTCCACAAATCTCCAGATCCATGAAAATACAAGTAGTTAAAGTATGCCATATTTTATATTACCATGTTATAAATACATGGTATCCATACAACTATGTCGAGTTTTAGAAATTTATTTACAAAACAATGTTAAACTCACAGAGGTAGTTCCTGCACCCAAAGTTAGGCAAAAGCATAAAGTTTTAGTCAGCATATCAGTACACCTCCATGTGCACCTTTCCTCTCCTTCGGCACATCTAGAAGATACTCAATTCCCTGCCATATATTCGTTAACATATTCGTTGTCACATTTACAATGACTTCTTGATTCGCTGCTTCAATAAGTCCACTCCCTTTCGTAGACCACCTACATGTGCTTCATGTACTGGTATGCTGGTTAAAACTGCATTTGCCTACCTTTTGATACAGAAGTTGCATAAGTTTCGCACAAAATAAACTTCTAAAACTTGACAGACTTCATGGACATCCTGCATAAAGTTTAACTAATAGGCTCCCTTAATGCCCTTAAGACGAAACGAGTGAAACAAAATACCAATATAAAATATAATATATAGCATGACTGTGATGCAATTTCGAGTTCTCTAATAAACAAAATTAATATTTATAATTTATTAAAATAAATATTTTAAAAGTTATTTCAGATTTTAAATTCAAATTTTTCAAAATTGATACTTACAGTTGTAATAAAATACCAGGAAAATTGATTACCATATAAGTTCAAATTGTTTGCCTTTAAAAATTTATAAAATTAGTTGTAGCTCATTGATACAAATTATAATAATAAAATATTTGAATGAGTCAAATAAAAGGAGCCATACCTGGTTTTTGATAACAGTAAGCTATTCTTTATTTGAAAGTTATTCTCACTTATCCCTTTGCTGTACAATCCGAATTGAATAATTATGGAACTGGGTTAGAACGTCTGTCAATGTATCTTTAACATCATCCTTCAAATGAAAACGTTGTCTTCAATTTCTTCTTCATCCTCGAAAATACCCAAAAGTTACATGGAAAAAGATTAGTACTACATGATTAATGGTCAGGACCTTTCTAGCCAAATCTTTCAATACTTTTATATGTCAGCCAAACATATCTTGTATTATTCATGAAGTAGAATAACGCCTGTTGTCAATAGCCTTAGAAATTTGTTTCCGTAAGTAGTGTACTTAGAACCATTTCCATATTTTGCATATTCAAATGAAAAAAGGCGAGGTTTTTCAAGAAGCCGAGAGCTGAGCATTAATCAAGCGCAGAGCTTCTCTACGATCCTTTAATTGAAGCTTTGTGCAAATGCACAGACTACATACCCACGAAATAGTAGTAGATTGCATGCCACAGTAGTAGTATTCTGCTTTGACTATTATTCTTTTGTGCTGCATGATTCCTGAATGTGTTTTAAAGGATTGGATTGATGGGAAAGGACAATCCAACACTGGCGATCTGCGCGGGGTGAATACATCCTGGGAGGAATTTCTATGGAAAACTGGTCCTCATTTGGATGTTATATACATGAAATAATCTCGGAAAACGCAATGTGACCAGTTCGTATTCGGTGATTTTTATTTACTCGGTTATCGGTGGGCTTTTCTTCTTGTTATTTTTTAAGGAACGATATATTCATTCGAACGATAATGTTAGAGTATACTGACAGACATTCTAATTTAGTTGTTATAATCATTATACTCGGAGAACATTAATAGGATTGTACAAAGAAGTAGGATAGATGTCTCTATTCTAATGGAGATTAATTTTAAATCATACTGTTACCGAAAAACCAGCTGTGGCACACCCAGATACTTACCATTCTTAATGCTTTCTCTATTACGCTGTTTGAACCGATTACAAAAAAATTTGCAATTTCTGGAGGTTTCATTCTCTGAATTTTAGTTCTTATATCATTCTCATCATTTTCGATAAGTTGAATGATATGTTTGGTTGGAATATTTTCTAATAATGTACTGTATTTGAGATCCATCACTAAAACAAAGAATATTTGTTATATATGTTAATAAATAAACATATTAGAAATACGAGTATAATTTTAATAAAATTTTTGGAAAAAATATCTGATACTTTCTTTATTAATTATTATATTAAGAAATCATTAAATTATTTTAAAACTGATTGAACATTAATGAAGATCATAAACAGATGTATTTTCGATCAAATAAATTGCAACATCAATGAAGAATTTTGTAAAATTTTAATTTCTTTAATTATTAGAGAAATAATTTAAGAAATAATGGCATTTGTTGCAATATATATTATCTCAATCATATTTCCAAATTGTATGGAAACAATTTAGGAGGATATTGATTAAAGTGATTAATGAATTAATTTCAACTAAAAATCATAGCAAAGTCGATTCTTCAGTTGTTTATTAGATTATTCCTCAAAGTAAATGTCACCACTCTGTTAGAAAATTTAATAATAATAATGTTTATATGTAGATATTGATTTTAAATTATTTACGAGAAATAATTATAGTAATTAATGAGGACATATACTATCTTTGGCTCAACAAATTTATTATTGTCTTCATTAAAAATAAATGAATAATTTATTTAAAATAATTTTCATTGTTCCTAATTATTTTTATTTTAATCCTTCCTTTACATTTATTCTTACACAAATACGAACAGTTAAGAGTAATATATATATATATATATATATATAAAACACTCTTTTGTTGAAAAAGAATATTAAGAAGCGTTATATAGAATTTTATGTAAGAAAATACGAATAAAAAATGCCATAAATCTTCGTGTATCCTATAAGGATTCTTGCATTTCAAAAAAATAAATTATTTAGTTGCTATGTGTTGATATATGTTTGCAGCATGCCATCTTACTTAATTCATTTACACTATATAATAAATTAAACTAACCTAATTCTTTATAGTAGAGTATTCCTGCTGATTTAAATTTTTGAATTTCACAAATATCGCGGACTGCGAAAGGAATAACGTCTCCTGGAGGAGCGATATGTACTAGATATTCTTTTTCTGTTGCACTTAAACTTTCCCATCCCATCAGTGTCNGCTACTCAAATATTTTACGTTTTTGATACTAAATTAACTTCTGAAGTATAATTTTTTACTGTTTTTATATTTTTCAATATATTTATTTTGTTAGTACAAAATAAAAAAATAATTTTTAACGATACAATAGTCTTCGTTAGGCTTAACATCGACGAAAATTCAACGCGAAGCGACACGCAACGGAGAAAAATGTCAAGATGGGATAAATTAATATATTTTTTCGTACATAATCGGTTATCCGAAACATCGATCTTCCGAACAATCCCTGTCCCCAATTGATTCGGATAATCGACGCTCTACTGTATTAATATAAAATATTTTAATGGATTTTTTAAAACTCCTGTCAACTATACAGAACTATCATAAAAACATATCAGTAAACTCCTATCGGTTGGATTAAGTTATAAATCTACTCGCGATTCGCATAATGGGGAGAAGGCGGTCATATTAGAAGGCAGGCGGCTAACAGCCCAGAACCGGTCTTGGATAGAATCATTGGAAGCGTTATAGGATATTTTGTTGTGCAGCTTCCACCAGCTAAACCGTGTGAGGTTGGTGCTCTGTAAAGCGCGAATGAGTATAATCTGGTTGCTTTACACCGTCCTCCATATTAACTTATTAAATCCTATGTCCGATCCGTAGCAAATTTTCATGCTTTATTTTGGGGAAAAAATATAGACTTTCATGAAATCTGGACACCCCACTCTTCCTTTGATTTGATTTCCTAGATACTTCGCAATAAACATAACAATTGTAAGCTAAAAACAACCAAATTTGTAATGTGATTTTCATTTTTAACGTTTAGCCATTTACCTGTTTGGACGGGCAATGCCAGACATATCTGTTGGTTAGTAGTAAAACAAATATTTACGAATTCTAATAAAAATAATATAAATGTTTAATAAATCTTTGTAAATTTAAAATACTCTAAATTAATTTGACTAGTCCTAAAAATATGGGGAACATTTTCATTAGTTCAAAATCCAGATAAAGAATTTACCATTCCGTGGTTATGATTACAAAAATTATTGTGTTTAAACGATATCATCAATAAATAATTAATTCAATAAAATGCATAAATTATTAAAGAAATAAATCATTAAGGAAACCATAGACGACTAAAAGACTTTGGAAACCTTCAGTAGTGACAGAAAATACGTCAGACATTACTAAAAATGAAACTTGTAATTAGATTATATCCAATAATATTTAAATAATTTGCATGTTATACATACATATCAATATTTAATTAGCGTAAATTAGTAAAACAAATGCCACTTGGAAAAATAGTAAGCTATGATATTACAGAAGTAATTGTAAGCTTTCGTGAAGAGGGAAAGTCCTTGCATCAAATTGCTACAGAGGTAAAAATTGGCAAATCAATAGTTTCTGACGTTATAAAAAGTACAAGAAAACTGATGTTATTGATCTAAGACAATCTAAATCAAGTTCTAAAGAACTTGAGATTGGAAGCTGCTTCCAATCTCAAGTTCTTTAGAACTTGATTTAGATTGTCTTAGATCAATTGGATTGGAAGCAGCTTCCAATCTCAAGTTCTTGCGAAAAATTATCAAGAGAAACTGGTGACATTACTTACAAAATTGAATAGAATGCAGCTATTAGTAAACAAGTTAATAAAGAGACTTGTCGGATATATTTGCAGAAACTTGACTACAAATTTTATCGGGTAAAATAATAGTGCTATATATCAGTAGTAATGGTTGTGTGTCAACATGTGATTTATCTTTACAAAATTAAGAAAAAAAATCTTGTTAACTAAACCTAAAGTGAGGAAAGGAAGGTCAAAATTGAGTGTGGAAATAGTGGAACGGCAGTAAAGACAAGTTGAGATTTGCATTGAAATAAACAAAAAAGAAACACGAAGAAGTAAGGAAAGCACGAAGTCTTTCATCTTGAGCGTTTTAATCGTACAATAAAGTTCCCAGAAAGCATTATGATATTATTGAGTTGCATGACTACGTTTTGGCACTTTACATTTTATTGATGGAATAGCGAATTAAAATATATATATATATATATATATATATTATCAAATCCTTAAGGAAAGTTTTCTTTCATACCAGGAAAAACTGCAAAAACCAAATATAATTTTGGTGCAAGTTGCCAAAACAATACTTACAGATAAAGATTAATGTGTTAAGTTGTTCATCTATCAATCTAGTTGTTTTTTCCATTGTAAATCTCTTAGGAAAAGATCTCAAAAAACAAGCTTTTTATATCAAAAGAATCCAGGAAGTTGGATGGAATTATTCAACACGAATATCAAACTCTTAGTAATACAATGCGTGAACACGTGAATGAATTAATACAGGAAAAAAAAAAATGATAAACCAGCAGTTTACATTTCGAATATAATGATTAATAAATAGATATAACTTTATTTAAATTATATCTATTTATAATAAATTAAATAAGTTATAATATCTTTAAATTTTCAAATGCTTATTGAATATTGACATATGAATATTTATAAAATTAGAAATTGTAATTGTATAAAAAAAAATTGTCGATTTAAATATTTATATGAGGACTTTTATGTTATATCGAAATTTTTCACTTATTATATTGATTTTTATACAGAGACATTTTCGATATTGCCATAGTGATGCTTTTGTTGTGTAGCTTTTTGTTTGCATTATAGCAGAAGTCGAATAGTTGTTTATAATATCGAAATACTTGGGTAATATATATAAAACCGTTTTCGTGCCACAACAAGAACAATTATTTATTGAATCATCAGCTAAGGTACCGCAAAGTAGCGGCAATAATTTTATGCATTGGCACGACATCAACTTAACAATCAAACGCAAACCGAATGGAAAAAAAAAATAATTGAAATCTTTAAATTACTAAAATTAAAATTTTATAGGCGTAAAAAGTATGTAATGATTTTCTCTTTGGAACTAATAATACAGAATTGCTATGGAGAACTTATCATATAAGAACACTGTTATGTGGACTTTCTTATATAAAAGGGACATTTCGGGTTATTCGCCCCCCTCTTTCAGTCCTTAATATATGCTGAAAATAAATGATATATTTATTAGTAGTGACTACTGGAGTAACCAAAATTTTTTCAACAAAGTCTTTGAGATAAGTTCACACAGAGAGAAATTATTTGATTTGAAAATAAGATAGAAACTATAGAAAGTCAAAAGAACATAAATTCTATACTCATTTATTTCTTATTTAGTTAAATGTAATAGATTAACTATAAGTTATATATACTATGAGTTACATAATGGATATTATTTGTTTATTGATTATTGTATTCAATGACAAAATGTCGAATAAAGATAAAAATATCTAAATTTTGTTTGTACATCTAGATAGATGTTAATTTACTCTAAAGCATTTTTTCATTGATAAAAGGATTTAAAATATAATTATCTTTGCGTCATCTCGCTGTTAATTTAATCTTAATTTAATGTAGAATTAGTTAATAATATATGTAGATACATAATAATTATTACACCATAAAAAATTATAATTTTTTTAATTAATTAAGTTTACATTTATCACAGATAACAAGTGAAAATTAACAATTAACATATTATTTTTGGTCGAGATCAGATATTTGAGCAAAGATTATTGACAATGACATAATGAAATATGTTGACTTCCTCAGTAACTTCGCTACGTAAAGTAAGTAAATTTATATAATCACATTTAAAAAAATGGCACAAAACTAATCAAAATATATTGTAAGAAAGTTACATTTGGGATTCAGTCACTTCCAACAAAGCAACTGGATCATGAATTTACAGGAAATCCTCGTTAATTCGAACTCAGATAGTTCTAAATCCTATTTGTATTGAACTTTTTTCGTACTGTCCGTACTTTAGCCACAGCTGGAGATATACAGATTTACATATAAAGGCATTCTGTTAGTTCGAAATACGGCTACTTCGAAATTCGAAGTGAAAATTCTGTCCGAACTGTCATACTCGTTCGTTTAGATCGAAGTGCCTGCATGCTATAAGGGAACAATAGACCAAGAACAACTCTAATCTGGTCAACATGGCTTTGCTTTTATAGTAACAGATGTTCGTGTGTCATCTTACACATTAACTACCTTTTTTTTTCTTCTCTTATTTCATAAAATAAGACTGATTTTCGGGATTGCAAGATTGGGGTACAAGTAGCGGATTGAGATAATTATAGGGCTGTATGCTACTACATTTGGGTGACCTATTACCTTTTCAGCCACTTTTAAAATAATTTGGGCTACATTTCAAGGAATTCTGCTTTACTTTTCATAAAACCTATCTGGCGACCTGTGAGGTTATCACCGAACAAGTACTGTTTACTTACAGTTTATTTATATTATTATTAGTTATTAAATAAGGAAATATGCTAAAAGCGACAATAATATACACTAAAATTTGGAGATTGAAATGCATACATAGGCGAGACCTGGTTATTCATTTTTTGTATCTAAAATACCAGAGCATTTCAATTGTTGCAACTTTTTCCATTGTCTTTCCAACTGTCTTTATTATATATACATTTATTTCCAAACATGATCTCACTGCAACATTTCAGGTATATTTTCATTTGCTGTTCTTCTTCGTTACATATACATTTATTTGGCTAGGAAATTTATAGCCAGCATTGGGTATAATTAATTTTAATAAGTTTTTTAAAAATTCTTTTAATTTTAGTTTTCAAATTTTCCAAAAACTTTTGTATCATCCAATACTAATCACACTTCACAAATATATTCTTATGCTATTCTACAAGTCTTATAAAATGATAAACTTTACTCACATATCTCCTATTGGTTCATATGTAGAACCTGTAACTTCAAACTCATGAAAAGCTATTTCATTGCCTTCTGCTTTATTGAGAATAAAGAACTAAAAATTTGGGGAGGAAAAAATATATATATAAAACACTCTTTTGTCAGTAAATAATATTAAGAAGCGTTATATAGAATTTTATGTAAGAAAATACGAATAAAAAATGCCATAAATCTTCGTGTATCCTATAAGGATTCTTGCATTTCAAAAAAATAAATTATTTAGTTGCTATGTGTTGATATATGTTTGCAGCATGCCATCTTACTTAATTCATTTACACTATATAATAAATTAAACTAACCTAATTCTTTATAGTAGAGTATTCCTGCTGATTTAAATTTTTGAATTTCACAAATATCGCGGACTGCGAAAGGAATAACGTCTCCTGGAGGAGCGATATGTACTAGATATTCTTTTTCTGTTGCACTTAAACTTTCCCATCCCATCAGTGTCAGTTTATAACCGTAAGTAGCACTAACTGTAGGCACACCCATTTTTCTAACTACAGCTTTGACTGTGGGTGATATTCGATTATCCATTCCTCTTGGTCTTCTCGTAGCGTCAATCACAACTGTTGGAGGTTCTTTACCGTCGAAAATGTGCTCACAAACTAAAACGATAATAAATACGAAATATTTTGATATACGATTATAAAACTTAATTTTATATGGAAGAACGTAATTACCTTCTTTTTCATTATTGTTTTCTTCTAATTCAATTTCTTCTGTTTCCAATTCTCCGTAATCAACATAATGCGAATCAGTTATGGCTGCTGTTGGAATTGTGAATCCTTTCTCGGTTATGACAACTGTCAATTAAAACGTAATAGCAATTTTATCATATAAATGAAAATATATTAAAATATTTTTTTACACTAAAACATGTCTACTTCAGTCTACAATAAACCACAATTTACTTACAATAAACTACAATAAACTTGTCTACAATAAAATTATTACTGTTGGTACAGATAATGAAGCTAATGTAAAGAATGCAGTGACTGATTGAGGAGAAAAAAATATATCATTGATGTATTTCTCTCATTTTAAATCTGAGTGTTAATGACTCTAAATAGAAGCAATAAATTAACTGTATTGATTCGAAATTGTCGACCATTAATTGGCAGATCACTTTAAAAGAAATGATATTGCTCAATAGGAAAGAAATGCAATATTTTATTTAAATTACATCAAAATTAAATTTATATATGAAAAAACGTTGGAAACCAGTAGTATTCTAAGCCATTGTGGTCTTCTAGAAAACTGAAGCTAAGCATATTAAATGTAGACTAATGATACCACTGATATTTTTTTTTAGAAGTCAGGTTAATTGTAAGTAAAGTAAGCTAAAAAGAGCATAAAATAGAGGAATACCAACAAATAATTCAAATGTACACGCTATACGCAATGACTTCTGTGACTATTCAGTGAATAAGTCTAACGGTCGTGAGAATTTTCCTCTCGTAATTCAGTCCATATTAAAACAGATGATCATTAGGTGCTTTGGTCAATCCCTATTTCTATATTTATTCTTATAACGAATAATATGTTTAGTAGATTTAGCTCAATAGTATTCGAGAAATATTTGAAGAACCAATTGCTTAAAAAAATAGATTTTAATCCGGATGCTGCGGAACTTTAGGGTGCTTCAACGACACTTCAGGATACCGCAAACAAAACAGAAACGAGTGCAGACATGAAATTTCGCATTCGATCCTAATACAAGAGTAAATAATAATATAAAAGTTCTTTATGATTACATAAATTTAATCAACACACATTACATTATTTTACAGTTATTTAAATTTAAAATTACGTAATACATTATACTGTGAATACATTTTTAAATGCACGCATTCATAAAGTATAAAATACTATGCAGTAAAATATAAACAACAGAAGAACGAAAATAACATCTAGATGCATTTATTATAATTTATGTTCATATTGTTATAGATTTTTAAATAAACCCTCGCAAATAACAGTCGATTTCTACGAACATTTCCTTCCCCTATTTTTATAATTGTTATTCTATTTCCCGTCCGTTAATTCAAGGTTTTATCTTATTGATTGTTGTATTTTGATAATTCTTTTTTTTTTATTTTTGACATTCAGTTTAATTTTATTATTAAAATCGTTTTTTAAACACACCAAAAACTAGCCAAAAAGTTGATTAATCACCGTGTTTTAATTTCATGAGTTGTTATAGAATATGACATAGGAAAAGTGTGGTGATCAGTCAAATTTTGTCCCTTAATTTTTTTTTTTTGCGTTTAGCAATGTTTTAACAATCCAGGAGCCCAATGATGTTAAAAAAACTGTGTGTGTGTCAATATATTGATATTAAACTTTAAGTGTAAGCTGCTGTTATAAATACTTATATCCGGTGTATAAGTCTAGTAGATGAGACAACTGACAAGCTTTACTAAAATTTTATTAATCTGTCGGTAATTATCCCTCTTCAGTCGTCAAAAATCCTTCAAACAGGACGAACAAAATCGTGGCTATACACACACACATTCTAACATACATACATACATACAAAAAAAATCTCCCCCGAATTGTTTGCATATCTCGACATTTCAAGGTGTCCTGAATCTAAAAATGTAAAAATTTGGAGGGGTCATTTTTTTGACCGATCGCTACACTTTCCTTCTGTTATATATAACAGCCGGAAAAGTAAAAATGATCGAATACATATTTATATATTGACTGTGTCATTGTTTAGAGGAGTCTTTTAGCTTTTGAATTAAAAAGTTTCTCGTGGATGCTAACACCAAAACATCGTATGATTACACTCTACTTCCAATGATTCTATCCAGGGCCGGCATAGCTTCCCTATCATCAAACGTCACCTCAGGCCACTGCAAAATGGATAATCCAACAACCAAAATCAGTGAAGATTGCTAGTTTTAGTAATAATGTATTGAAATTCGAGTTTAGTACTTTAATCTGTACTTATTCACGTACTGTACACTCACACTTGCCTGCATACTCTATACAGTAAAACTCGTCTAAAATGAAATGAGACTGTACCGATTATTTTTATTAATTTATAAGAAAACTTTTAAAAAAATGCTACAATTCATATTTAGAACTGTTTTTCCTTTAATATCTTTATGTTTAGAAGACAAATTTAACATACAGAACTATGTATGTAGTTCATAAAGGGGGTAATCTGTATAAAAACCTAATATACTTGAAATGTGTTAAATTCTAAATTATACCGATAATTAATCTGCTATTAAGATAATTTCTAATTACGTTTTAAATTTAAATAACGTATTATGTTACATAATTAGTACCAGAATACAATATTAAACGTTGTTTGTTCGTATATTGAGTAAGACTCGAATAATAAATTAATAGTAATGCCGAAAAATTAAAATAATCGTTAGTTTTATTTTTCGATTACTAGAGGGCGACACTGTATTAGATTGAATTCAGATATTTCTGAAATTTTTTTACTTACAATAAGTATAAAAAGTGTATAGAAAGACTCGAATTATAAATTAATAATAATGCCGAAAAATTAAAATAATCGTTAGTTTTATTTTTCGATTACTAGAGGGCGACACTGTATTAGATTTGAATTCAGATATTTCTGAAATTTTTTTACTTACAATAAGTATAAAAAGTGTATATAAAAGCACGAATTATTAATTTGCAATGATATCGAAAAATTTTACAAATTTTTATACATTAAAAGAATAAAAAAAAAATACAAAGACAATTTCTAAATTATAAATTTGATCATAAATGACGTCATAAATACGAGAAAACCGATATCTTCGCACATTTTAAAGTGGTCGGCATAAATCGCCTTCGTAACACGACCTTTGAACTTTCATCAAACAAATGCTATTGTTGTAATCGTTTTAACAACTTTGTGATGGATACTAAAGTGTAATTTTTAATAAATCAATTACCGAAAAAAGCAAAAAAGTTACACCTACTTGATAACTACAAAGAAGACAAATCACTGTATCGATTTTTATTGTTCGCTTAGATCATAAATCACGTTATAAATGTAACTATTACGAATATATTCCCACCACTCGAAGTGGATAGCAAATTGCCTTCGTAACTCGACATTCGTACGAGATTCAATTGAAACGAGATTTTTACAGCTGAAAAAATAAATAATATATTGTGTATATATATTTTTTAATTATATATGCTACGTATACTTTTCGGTATATTCACATTCCTAACGCAAAATTGATGTTTTCGTAATCCATCGTATTCTTCTCTTTAATGACTAAGTTAAAATACAATATGGCTGCTAGAATATACCTTCGAATAGTGGACAAACTTCTGTGTCCCGACGGTGTCCGCTATACAGAGATTATACTTTATATTAAATTTTTAGACAACTATTTGACTAATACTTTAAAAAAAAAAAATTAATTTTTCTTAATCTTTCCGTGATATTTTTGTCAACAGTCACTTCTACTTTTTTTATTATCACAGCATAATATTGTATTATACACACAAGCATCCATTTTGTTTTACACGTGTAGCGAACATAAAAGCTGCTTTATCTTTTCTGCAGAGACCTGTTGCAGAAAACGTTTAGACGCTACATTATACTGCTTCATTTAGAAACGCTTTGAGTGTAGAGATCAAGCAGCACTGTATAAATGCGACCGAATCATTCCAGCAATCAGCGCCTTTTAACTTGCATTGAGGTCATATGCCTATGGCCACGAACATGTGACTTGTGAAGTCATATGTTCACAAGTCACATGTTCGTGGCCATAGGCATATGGGCCTTGGCACACTAAAATTACAAGACCTCTGTAGTCTGGTTTAGAAATGGGAGATCCAGTTCCGCTACTGGAACTGTTGGAACTGTTTAGCTAGACGGTTCGTCGGAACAGTTTGACTTGACCAGTGATTACCAAACTTTTTCGATCCACTGTTCCCTTTGTTCCATAAAGGGGGTATACTCAACCCCCAACCGTAGACCAGATGGCCGAGGGTTCAAGGTGGCATCCTACTGCTCTGGGGGACCCGGGATCGAATCTGGATTTTGGATCGAAAAATTCCCAGGAATTATTCGGGGGTGATCCGTCCGAATATGTCGGGCCCCATCCCTCACCACCCGGCCGTCCCATTGTGGGCCAGGCCGAACTCATAGTGGGCTTGCTAAAAGAGGCCCTCTTAGTGCCCACAGGGTGGAAAGAGTTTTTAAAAAAACCCAACTCTCCCTAACCCATTTTCCCTTGTGTGAGAAAGGCTTGGAAATATTCTTAGGAAAACATTTCTATGTACTGTACAGTACAGTGGCTAGAAAATATAGTGTCGAAAGCGCTTATATTTCTCCATTATAACCGTTCGGTTCATACATCGAGGTTAGTGACGTCACAGACAAGGTGGCGCTGATGTCAATCGTAGTGCTACTTTCGCTTTGGCTACGTGATATCCTTTCTTACAAGAACATCGAAAGCGATTAAATTTGTGCTTGTAAAGTGAATAAATCCTTAGGAAATGGCTGAACAGAAACTTTACTGACTTGTGTATTTCTAATTTATAGATATTACTCTACTGTAATTTTTAATTCTTTTATTTTTGTCGAAAAGGGTGAGAAATCTACATGCATATTAATCTGTAATTTTTTAAGAGAGATTTTTCAAATATAAAGTGTATATGCATGGGTACTTGGCAGTAGACTAATAATCGTTTATTTGTACATACTTAATTTTGTAATTTTATATTGGGACAATAAAGTAACATTCTGCCTTTATATTTTATATACTGTGTAGAATTTAATTGTAATTTTAATATTGCTTTATACTATGTCACA